CTCCCCGATGCTGGGATGACAGGCAGAAGCAACCACGCCTGGCCAGTTTCCATAATTTTAAAAGGTAAAAAATAGTATTAGGGCTTTGTAAAAAATAATTAAAAAGTTATTAAATTATTTTTAATTTAAATTTATTAGTTATTAAAAGTTGTCAGAAAAAGGCGAGAGAGGAGACGGGGCAGGAAGACCTGGTGGGGCTCGAGCGGCGGGCAGCGCCGTGGCCCGAGAGCTGGGCAGCGAGAGGTGTCCGGTCTCCTTCCGCGGTGACGAGAACCCCCTACGGTGGTCCGGTCTGGAAGCCCGTCCGGGGAAAGCACAAAGGCCCGCACCGGCGGCAGGACCGCTGAGGCGCGAGCGCGCGCGATGGACCGAGCGGTGACAAACACCCGGCGCCGGGCGCCCGGTGCCGGGCGCCGCACGGCGCGGCCAGCCCGGGCCCGCCGGGCACCGGGGCGGGGGCGAGTGCCGCCAGGCCTGGGCAGAGAGAGGCCCGGCCCGCAGCCCGGGCCGGGAGGAAGGAAAGCCGCAAGCAGAAGGGCCAGGCCCGGGAGCCGAGGAGGCGCCGCCCAAGTGGCGGAGGGCGCCCGGCGGCACCCTGCCGAGGCACGTACGGGGGGGCCCAGGAAGGGGCGGGCGGGGGGGCCGGGACCGTGGAGCGGTGGCTCATGCCTATAATCCTAGTACTCTTGGGAGGCCAAGGTAGGAGGATCACTCTGAGGTCAGGAGTTCAAACAGCCTGAGCAAGAGCGAGACCACATCTCTACTAAAATAGAAAGAAATTAATTGCCCAACAAAAATATATAGAAAAAATAGCCAGGCATGGGTGCGCATGCCTGTAGCCCAGCTACTCGGGGGCTGAGGCAGGAGGGATGCTTGAGCCCAGGAGTCTGAGGTTGCTGTGAGCTAGGCTGACCCACGGCACTCACTCTAGCCTGGGCAACAGAGAGAGACTCTGTCAAAAAAAAAAAAACCCAAAAAACCCCGAAACCAGGACTGATGTCCGTGACGTGACTCACGGGACGGGAAATGAACTCAAAGCACGCTCGCAACGGGGCCGGGACCGTCTCCCGGGGGAGGCTCCCGCCACCCCTTCCCCCGGCTGCAGTCAGAGCTCTGCCCCGTCCTGCCGGCCTGGGCGGGTGGGGCGGCGTCACACGGGGGAAGGGCCAGCCTGCACCCGGCGGTCTGGGCGTTGTCCCGGCGGGGGTAGGGCGCGCGTCCAACGGCGGGAAGGGCCAGCCTGACCCCGGGTTGTCTGGTCCCGGCGGGGGTGGGCGGCGTCACCAACGGGCGGAAGGGCAAGCTGCGCACGGCTGCGCCGTCCCATCGGGGGGGGGCGGCGTCCACACAGGTGGAGGCCAGCTCCCCGGGTCGTGGGGCCGTCCCGGCGGGTGGGCGGCGTCACACAGGTGGAAGGCCAGGCAGCGCCGGGATGGCGCACGTCCCGCGGGGGTGGGGCGGCGTCCCACACAGGTGGGAAGGGCCAGTCAGCGGCCCGGGTTCTGGCGCCGTCCCGGCGGGGGTGGCGTCGGCGTCCAACAGGTGGGAGGGGGGCCAGGCTCGCTGCCCGGGGTCTGGGTTGCCGTCCGCCGGGGTGGGGCGGCGGTCCACACACCAGAGTGCTGGGATGACAGGCATGAGCCACCACGCCTGGCCAGTTTCCATAATTTTAAAAGGTAAAAAATAGTATTAGGGCTTTGTAAAAAATAATTAAAAGTTATTAAATTATTTTTTAATTTAAATTTTATTAATTATTAAAAGTTTTCAGATAAAATGATCCAAAAGACGTGTCATGAAACCCTGGGTTGTCTCGAGGCTGCGGGCAGCCGCCCTTGCCCTAGAGCTGGGCACGAGATGTGTGTCCGGTTTCTCCTTTCCTCCTGTTTTAGAGACGAGAACTCCCCTTACCGTGGGGTCCTGTCATTTTGGGTAAACTGCTCTGTGTCCTGGTGAACAGCCAGCAAAGGCCCTGGTCACCTTCCAGCCGTCTAATCCTCGAGGCCCTGCCTCCGTCAGCTATCGAGCCTCGTGCTGCGTGACAAACACCCCTGCCCGGTCTTCCCACCTGGGCTGCCCGGAGCCCACCGCGAGGCTCTGCCTCCGTCAGCTATGGCCACCTCGTGCTGCGTGACAAACACCCCCGCCCGGTCTTCCCACCCGGGCTGCCTGGAGCCCGCCGCAAGGCTCTGCCTCCATCAGCTATGGCCGCCTCGTGCTGCGTGACAAACACCCCTGCCCAGTCTTCCCACCCGGGCTGCCCGGAGCCCGCCTCCCGGCTCTGCGCCACTCCCCGTGCCAGCCTGGGCAGCCGGGCACCTTGGCTGGGTTTCCGGGAGGCCGCCGAGCTGGGGCCTGGGGGGCGAGGAGCTGGAGCGCGTCCCCGTGCCCGCAGCCCGGCCGGGAGGAAGGAAGGAGCCGGCCGCAGAGCAGAACGTGGGGCTCAGGCGCCCTCGGGGAGCCCCGGAGCTAGGCGGGTTTTGCATTGTCCCGACTTGGGCAGAGGCAGCCCGGCCTTCACACCCTGCCCTCCCAGGGGGTCAGCTACTGGGTGTGGGGGCCCAGGAAGGGGTGCTGCTGCTGGGGGCCGGGGGCAGGGTTTGGGGACTCTGGTCTCAGCGACGTGCAGCCGCCGGGGGGAGCGGCCTTGTTCTCCGCGAGGTGTTTGCAGCCCAGCTACGGCGGCTCACGGAGCACTGCAGGGGAGGAAGTACTGCCAAGGTTTGAACTGCGGGCCATTTAGACGAGGACCCGCTCCCACGCCCCCGGCTGGGCAGAGGGTGGAAGTGCTGCCAGTGGCCTGGGTCCGCGGGGCCACTCCTGAGGTCCGCCGACCCCATCCAACCTCCCGGGCGGGACCCGGGCGGGCTGCTGGCAGGTGGGTCTGCAGGGTCCCCGGCACCCGAGCACCACCGAGTACGAGAGAGCAGGGGCGGAGGCGAGGTAGGAGGGCCATTAACTCATCTTTATTTACACCACAAGAGTAACAAGTCGCGGGATGTGGTACAGAATACTGGACTCCGGTGGGCGGGAGGAGAAGCTGACCGGCGGCGGGGGGAGGAGGAGCCCGCGGCCGGTGAAAATCCGCCCACACAGAACAAAACGGGAACGGGGAAACCAAACACGAAACCTCCAACGCCACTGAGCGAAAGAAAGAACCCCGGGGGAGGCCCGTACAATCAAGGAGAAAACGGATTAAATTACAGAAGAAACTGGCGGTGCAGAGCCCGCCCCGGGCTGACGGGCACCAGGCGGGCGCGGCGTCCTGGCCACCGCTCCCTGCACGCACCTGTCGCCTGAGCTCTTGGGTGAGTGAGGCCCACCCCTCTTTGTGTGTATGTTATGTATATGTCTGTCGTTCTCATAAACGGGAGAGCAAGCCGCCTCCGCGGCGGAGCACACACACCAGAAAACCAAACCAAACAAAAACTGTTCGCTCTTTTTCTTTTCGATAGGAGACTTTTAATCAATGTCAGAGACAGAGCGAGGCAGGGCCGAGAGCGAGCCCCGCCTCGGTACAAGGAAGAAATGCTTCCTTCCGATGCAAAGAATAATGTTGAACCACAGTGCTCGCAGAGTTCATGACTGCTTTAAAGTGAAATCTTAGCCACACGTCGTCTAAAATTAATGAAAGAGTCAACACGGCTGTGCGGGGAAAGAAAGGGGGACTCTCTCTCGAGCCCGCCCGGTTCTCAGTCGGAATAACCGTCGCGGGGCCGGGGAGGGACGGACGGTGAGGCCCGCCTGGCCCCCGCGAGCGAAAGAAGATAAAAGGAAACAAACAGAACGGAACAAAACAAAATTCCTCCAAACCAACTCGAGAGAGAGAGAGACAGGCAGCTCACCTCGAAATCTGCGTAGTTTCCCTAAAACACTGTTTCCACATAAATACAATAAACTCTATTATTGGTATGTCACAAGTGCTATGATAAACTTTTTTTTTCTTAATATGACAAAATGTTTAAGTAGTCCTTTTTATCCTTACAATAAAAAGTACAATTTCTTAAGAATTAAGTTCAGTGAAGACGCAAGCTTCCCTCCCCCCACTCTCCTTCAAGGTTTCGTTTCACAGAAAAATTCCCATCTTTTCTATCTGCAAAGGTCAAGAGAGGGGGACGAAAAGGCATTTTCCTTCTTCTTCCCCAAAGCTGCCGAGTCTGGCGTGCAAAATCTGTATACAATATAAAGACATGCCGGTCGTTCAGTCCATGCAACCTCCAAGGTGTAGGAAACTTAAAAAAATATATTCATATATATTTATATCTATATATTTATATATGTATCAATGCCCGTAAAACGCGTGGGCCCAAAGTCTACAAAAAGAAGAATGGAATGAGCACATGGCTGTGACCAGGAAAGAAGGAATGTTCTGACCGAAACAAAAACAGCAAAGCCCGTTGCTCGTGCTGCGAAGGCCGGACTCGCTGTGTGCCGGGCCGCCACGGAACGGTCCTTCCTCTTGGAAACAGAGCTTTAAAAGAAGTAAAGAAAAACCCAGACACTCTGTGACACAGTGGCCCTCCCGCTCCCGAGCGGGAGCCACGGGGTGCCCGAGAGGGGCGGCCAGTCCCCGGGGGGCGGCTTCCTGGGACGGCTGCCTGCTGGTGGGGCGTGGGCGCGGCGTGGCATAGCTGGAAGCCGCCAGGACGGGGAGGACGCCATGCATCCCGGGGCATCATCGGGGCCTCCCGCAGAGGGACATAAAGTGCTCTCTTGCTGACTCCCTGGCCAGCGACCCCAGGGCCTTTGCACAGGAAGAAAAAGGCTACAGGTCCGAGGACCACAGGGAAAGCACAAAGAAACCCTCCCCGATGTGGTCCCGCCCACGGGGCCAAGGCAGACCCTGCGCCATGTGCCCTGGGCGGTGCCGGCCGTGGAGAAGGGCCGAGTGTGTCTTCAAAGAAAAGGCTACACGGTAATGCTCTCAGCACGCCAGTGAAGCTGGAGTGAGCTGACATGTGAAACATGCTTCCCCGGGCCAGGCCTGTGCGCGGGGGCGTCTCCTGCATCGGAGCGAGACCGCGTGTGAATCCCCCGGTGCTGACCTGGCTGCGGAGCGGTCCTGTCCTCCCATCATCTGCTCAAGAAAGTGAGATGACGCCTCCTCCCATCAACCACGGCTGGGAAGGGGGCAGGTGGGGGTCCTCAGAGGGCCACTCGGGGAGCGGGGCAGAGGCTGCCGGAAGACCCGGCCAGCTGGGCCCTGCCACCAATGGGGGATGGGCCAAGGCGGCTCCTACACGCCAGCTCCTCTTGCCAACTTAGGCTTCGGAGCAAAACGTGGCGGGTAGGGAGGAGAAAGCCAAACTAGTCCCAAGACCTTTCTGCCCTGCTCTCAAACCCGTCTTCGAGCTGACCGACAGCAGGCAACAACCGCGTCAATCCAAGAACTTGTCCTCATTCGGTCAAAAGCGTGAGTGAGTTAGCGTCTCTTTCAGAAGCTACCCTGTAAACCTGACCACACTCGGAAACCTGGCCTGGGGTCCCTCCTGAGCATGGTGCGTCTGAACTTCCGCCCACAGGTCTGAACTGGATGCACTTGGAATGAAACTGGTGGCTTCAAGTGCTGAAAGTTAAGTTACCAGTAAAAAGGGACTGTCAGTCACCGTCAAAGAGGAAGAGTGAAGGCTGCCTGCCCCGGTTGGGAGCCCGCACCTGCCTGTCAGGCCCGCCAGGCACGAGGCCCCTGGGCTCCCTGCGGCCACAGGCTCCAAAATCCAGGGCCGGCTGCTTCCGGCCTGAGCCACACTGCCGCGGGAAACCCGAACGGGAAGAGCCCCGTGCGCGGCCCATGCTCTGCCGACATGCACCAAAGGCCTTTGGGAAACTGAAGTTAGACTTTCATCCTGCAGGGGTGGTCAGAGAAGTTTAAACGTGAGTTGCATTAATGCTGATGGCCCCCGGTGACTAGCAAGCCTCCCAGGTAGCTGGACGCCACACGTGACCGTCCCTGCGCTTGCCACGGAGGGGAGAACACGCCACCCCGTGTGATGCTAGTGTTGAACGTAGGAAAAGCCGTCTGGCTTCTGTATACAGCTCCTAGGACAGACTAGGAGAGACACAGCTGTTGGTGTCACTCTGAAAAGACCTGAGGTCCCTCTCCTCACTCTCTGAAAATAAACTCTGATGCCAACGACTCCCGGACGCTGCAGAAAACCGTCCACTGTACAAAAATAAACAAGAACAATAATAATAATAATAATAAAAAAAACAACTTTGAAAGTTAAAAAAAATGTACAAGCAAGAATTTTAAAAAGGAAAACGATTTAGAAATTACCATTTGGAAAAAAAAAATCCCTAAATGGTGAGGAATAATGTAAAATTCACAAAACAATGCTTATTCAGGATCTTTTTGTGAAAAAATTCATACAAAAATCAACAGCAAATTTATATTCTTTGCTATAAAAACTCATTAGGTACATATGTGCATGGAGGCTTGGAGAGGGAAGGGGCTTCTGCTAGAAAATAATTGAAATCAAAGTACAAACTTGCAGGGTAGTTGCCCAGTGGCGAATGTGTTGGCGATCTGAAAGCTCTAGCCAATCTGGAGCCCGAAAAGACACGAGTCTCCATCACGACCCCTTTCCATGAGCACCTTGAGGGCTGGTTCACAAGTCATCCGTTTGTAAGGGACCTCCAGGATCTGCATTTATTTTATATATATATATATATATTTATATATACTTTTTCTATAAATGCATTATAAATATTTTATCAAGATTTCGTTAAGAATCAAGTTTCTTAGCTTGGAATACATTGGAATATATATTATACATATATATATTTATTTATACCTAAAATTTAAGCAATACTTCATGCTACTTGCTTTTCATAAAAAGCATTCCGACCCTAACACTGCAAGTGCCTGGGGCATGCTGACAACCAAATGGACACGATCGGTCGCTACGTGACGCGTGAGAAAAAGAACACTTTGGATTCGTTTAAAATTTTGTTGGACTTCAAAACCCCAACAGTATCTGCCACTTTTTTGGAACCACCTCCACTTCCGCAACGAGCGACCGGGCGCAGGAGGAGCCCCGGGGCACCGCCTCGCTCCCCCGGCCACGGGGGGGCCGTCCACCGACCCCGCTCTCTGTAGTTTCTTAAGGCATCGTTCCTCGGACCCCAGAAAACCCAGCCACAAAAATCCACCAGAGCAATAAAAATAAAGGCACAAACTTGCATCTTCCGATGGCTTCGAGAAACTCAACCCTCCCCCAGGCTCGCGCTCCTGCTTCTGTCCGGTTTCGCTTCCGTGGAAGGTCCGTCCACTCCGGCCCCCACCTGCCGCAGACCCCGCCGCACGCCGCTGGCTCGCGGGGGAAGGCCGGAGCCGAAGAAAACGTTCTCTTTGAAGAAAAATAAGCTACAAGATGAGTTGAGTGGTTTACACGGAGACTGTGAAATTGTGGGTAATAATCAAACGTTAAGCACCAGTTTTAATCGAGTTTTTTTTGTGTGTGTGTGTCGTTAGATCTTTGATTCTCATTTTCTTGTCCTCGTGTCACCTGGATTCGGCGACCGCCGCAGGCCGCTGTCTTCGCGGCATCCCGGGACCGCCGAGTGTGCTTGGCTCCCGCGGCTGTGCGTGTGCACGCGGCGCCGGCGTCTGTCCCGCGGCTGCCACGCCGGGGTGAGCGTGTGCGTCTGGAGCCCGGGCTCCGTCGGCAGAAAGGCTTCCCGTCGCTGCTGCGGGCTGGCGTCCCTGGGCGCTCCGAGAGCACGCGGGGCGGGACTCAGGCGCCGCTCGGGAAAGTTTCTCGGCTGAGCTTCAAGACAGAGACGGACAAACAGGAGACCGGCGGCTCCGGGAGAGGCTACAGGGGCGGCTCCTCCTCCATGGGCTCCTCCTCCGGCCTGCGGAGTCCGGGGGGTGGGGGGGGGGGGCACAACAGAGAGAGAGAACCCAGCGGCGCGTTGAGGCGGCACGCTGGCCTTTGGCAGCCACCTTCCAGCGGACGCGCCGCCCGCCGCGTGGCGGCCCTCCCTGCCGCGGCCCACCCTGAGGCTGAGCGCCACGGGCCCACGCTGCCCAGCACTGCTCACGCGTGTCTCAGGGCGTCCTCGCTGGACAGAGGGGGCCGCGCTGGCCTGGCTCCACAGTCGGATGGGGACACCTGAGGTCCCCCCCCGTGGGGCCAGCCTGGTGCACGTGGCAGGCCACGCATGGCCACGGCGCTGACCGCCTGCGGGACACGCCACTGCTCAGAGGTGCCAGCAAGCCTGCGGGCGGGGCGGGCACTCACCTCTTCTCGCTGGGCTTCACGCCCACGGAGAGCGAGGCCATGGCGGTGACCGTCTCGGCCTCCTCGTTCTCGCACTTCTGCGCCTCGACCAGGGAGTGCCCCACCGTGGAGGGTGTGCGCTGCAGGCAGCGCCAGTACTTGCCTAGGGCGGGGAGAGCTGCTCAGGGACAGGCCGTGCCGGCCACACCGCGGCCCAGGGAGGTCTCCGCGGGGCCCCGGGCCTCGGGACCCGGCCCTGCGGGTTAGAGGCAGCAGCCGGGGAAGCTGTGAGGCCACAAACTCACAGCAACTGGGGATCTCTGGAAACGTTTCTGGCTCCAAAGTGGAAAGGTCGTCCTGCAGGCAGGACCACCCAGCACCGAGACGGGCCCCATGGGGCCTGGCCTGCAGCCCTCGCGGGCCCTCCTGGCCACGGCAGCAGGCCTGGGCTGCAGGCCGGCGGTGCTGGGCCCTCCTGGCTGTGGGAGCAGGTGAGCCGGGTCGCCCGCCCAACCCCGGCAGGTGCTGGGTTAGGGGAGTCACTGGGTCAGGCCCGAGCATGAGGGCCATGCCCCGAGGGCGGGCCCGTGTCAGCTCCGGGGCTCCGTGGCAGGAAGCCAGCGCCCAATGCAGGGACACAGGGAGCAGGCCTCCGGCTTCCCCCACCTACGCTGATGGTCTCAGCCATTCGGGTCGGCTCTAAGGCCTACAACACACTGGCCTTGTGGTGAGGACAGGTGTGACAGCTACACCCGACACAGGTGCGCTGGCATGCGTCCCCTCGCCACCGAAGGCCTGCTGGGACATAGTTCACAGTTTAAAATGTCCCTTTGCTGGGCGCGTGCAGCCTATAATCTAGTACTTTGGGAGGCAAAAGGTAGGAGGATCACTTATGGAGTCAGGAGTTCAAAACCAGCCTGAGCAAGAGCGAGACCACATCTCTACTAAAAATAGAAAGAAATTATGGCCAAAAATATATAGAAAAAAATCATGCCAGGCCATGTAGCGCTATGCCTGTAGTCCCAGACTATCGCCGATTGGCCGAGTGCGTGGAGGATCGCTGAGCCCAGGAGTCTGAGGTTGCTGGAGCTAGGCTGACACACGGCACCTCTAGCTGGGCAACAAGAGAGTAGAATCTGTCAAAATAAAAAACAAAA